CGGCGGCACCCGGCGCCTCAGGCCCGGGAGGCGTAGGGGCGCGCGAGGGCGCGCGCGTAGCGGCGCTGTGCCTGCTGTGGTATGCTCTGAGCGCGGGCGGCAACGTGGTCAACAAGGTAATACTGAGCGGCTTCCCGTTCCCGGTGACCGTGTCGCTGTGCCATATCCTGGCGCTGTGCGCGGGGCTGCCCCCGCTGCTGCGCGCCTGGCGTGTGCCCCCCGCGCCGCCTGTGTCGCCGCCCTTGCCCGGCCAGCACGCGCCGCCTGGCCCCCTCCTGCCGCCGCGCTTCTACCCGCGCTACGTGCTCCCACTCGCCTTCGGCAAGTACTTCGCATCCGTGTCGGCGCACGTCAGCATCTGGAAGGTGCCCGTATCCTACGCGCACACCGGTGGGTGCTGGCCCGAGAGCGCGGGGGTCATCTGCAGTGAGACTTCTGCGCTCAACTAGGAGTGTGTGAGGGGCCAGCTTGTGCTCTGAACAGGAGAGGGATCCACCTGGGGATTTCGGAGGAGAGAAAAGAGCTGAGCAAGCCGGGCTGCACCTTTTGGGGTGGGGTGGGAGGCAGTCCTGAAGAAAGAGAAGTGGTAAAGAGGTTTGAGAGGCAGCCAAGCTGCCAATCCTGCCCTTCCTGGACCCAACCTTAGGGAAGAGACTGGCTCCCAGGGCTGGCATCTGAGCACCCCTTGCCTCTCTTTGCAGTCAAGGCCACCATGCCCATTTGGGTGGTCCTCCTGTCCCGAATCATCATGAAAGAGAAACAGAGCACCAAGGTAAGGGGGGCTTGTGGCTGCTGGTGGGCCCCATTGGGTGACTTGGTGCAAGCTCCCAGGCCTCCTGGTTCCTGTAAAATTAGGAAGTCAGTGCTGAGGTCTCTGGGAGCCCTTTTACTGCCAATGGTATGTGTGAGGAGAGAGGGTGTTCCTGAGCTGTCTCTGCTGTGATTTTGGGAGTTACAAGTAGGTGATGAGGTGGCTTCTAGGTGGTGACGTGGTTGCATTTTCACCCAGCACCCTTGCCCTCTAGCATGACCGGACTTGGACTGTGTAACCCCTGCCCGGCACTCTTTGTGTCAGAGTTTCATTTCCTTTCAGGAGAGTGGGGGCAAGTAGGGACCTTCTGGAATCAGAAGGGAGGTGCTAGTCAAAAGAGTCTGCTTTCCGCGAAATCTAGCCCAGCTTAAGAATTCTCATCATCCTTGTGGGGATGGAAGTACAAACCTGGGGCTGCCTCAGGAAGGCTCTCTTGGCATAGCCTAGGGTCTGTTCAAGATGCCAGGCCAGGGAGTTTCCTTCTTGGGGTGCACTAGAGAACCCGGGCCTTCAGCCAGAGACAGCTGCCTTCCTGGGAGTTCTAAGTGGCAGCAGGACTCCTACTGGCCCAGCTAGATCCCATTTCCATGCTGGACAGAGCACTCCTGTCCTGGTGGTCAGTTTCTGTCTGGTATTGTGCTTTTTTTGTAACTCAGAACAGTGGCTGTGCCTTGAATCAGCTTGTAGAAATTGGGCCACCTCTGGCAGGTTTTTATTTTTATTTTAGCCTCTGTCTTGATCCTGGGAGAATGGGATGTGCGCCACTGCCCACCCCTGAGTGACATCAGGTGGGTGACTATCTGGCCAAAGTCGGAGTTGCCCAGGAGGTGTCTCCCTGTGTCCCTGCATCATGTGATACCACATCAAGTCTATCAGATTTCCTGGTTGCCCGTTGCACAGGACATTGTACCCAGTCTGGGCATGGCTAGAGCCAGAGCCGGAAAACTTGCACAGCCAGGAAGGGCCCTTCTTGGCAGGGTGACTAATGATAAACAACTCTGGCTAGACTCCCCTACCCCCTGAAACAGATAAGGTGGGGAATCAGATAAGGGAACTTACAAGGGGACAGTCTACCACATGCCTGTGGGCTAGCACTGTGGTGGGGAGCTGGGGTCAGGACTTCCTGGTAACAATGCCCTCAGGGCAGCATGGGCTTGTGAGTTTTCTTCCTAAGAATTGGAAGTGGAGTCCTTTTGCCTGGAAGTTGAGCCATTTTGCACCAGAGCTCAGGAGCCATGCGATGCTCTCGCCCTGAAATGCTGGGCCTCTGATTGTCTCCTACCACTGTGTTTGCAACACATTCATTCAGCCAGCAGTTACTGAGTACCTACTGTGTGCTGGCACCAGGATAGAGAAGTGAACAAGGGCCTCCCCTGATGGAGACATGTTAAAACACAGGATTAAATAGGCAGTTATGATGTTGGAAGCAGTGGTGGCTCAGTGGTAGAATGCTCGCCTTGCTTGCAGAAGACCCAGGTTTGATTGTAGGCCAGTGCTAGCACAGCCACCACCATCTGTCCTTGGAGACCTCTTGCATGTCGCTAGGATGCTGGATAAATTTTAAAAGAGCTTCCAGACTAAGGAAGGCCTGGTGATGGACTTGCAAAAATCAGCCAATGAAAATGCAGTTCAGTTGATCGTGGGGACGGCATGGGATGGACTGGGCAGTATTTCATTCTGTTGTGCATGGAGTCGCCATAAATCGTGATCAACTCTACAGCACTTAACAGTGATGTTGGGTGGTGCGTGATGCCATAAGGGAGGCATGGGTGGCGGTGAGAGCCCACAGCCATGGGACACGCAAGGCAGGGGTGAGGCAGGGAATGTTCTCCTTGGAATGATGTGGGAACTGAGACCTGGAGTGAGGGCAGAGGGGCAGTAGCAGGTGGAGGTGGCGAGGGTGTGGGAGGTGCCCCAGCTCGAGGTGATGGTGTGTTTGAAAGGCCCAAAGTGGAAGGAGCAGGGACTTTGTTAACATTTGCGCTAATGAGCAAGCCCCTGGATAGTGTAAACTGTGAATGCACTCAATTGTTAATGGAAAGGTTGATGGTTCGACTCCACCCAGAGATGCCTCAGAAGAAAGGTCTGGCCATCCATTTCTCAAAAATCAGCCATTGAAAACCCTGTGGAGGACAGTTCTACTCTGTCACACATGGAGTGGCCAGGAGTTGGAGTTGACTTGATAGCACTTGGTGGTGCCAATGGGAGTCTCTCAGTTGTTCAGTGTTTCCAGTCCTTCTTGAGCAGGGGCTATGAGTGGGGCTGTGGAATAGGGGATGGGGCTGCTCACGGAGACACAGCCATCTGCTCTGCGCCCCCAGCACCCCATCACAATTTCCCAAGGAAGGGTGTGGTGTCCCTCTGCGGTGTCATGCTGGTGAAGGAGGAGACTGGCTGAGGCTTTGGTCAGGGCCCCTGTGGTGAGTCCCCAGAGCCAGCCATCAGCCCCACCTTCCTCCCCAGGTGTATCTGTCCCTCATCCCCATCATCAGCGGCGTCCTGCTGGCCACTGTCACCGAGCTGTCTTTCGATATGTGGGGGCTCCTCAGCGCTCTGGCGGCCACCTTGTGCTTCTCACTCCAGAATATCTTTTCCAAAAAGGTACTGGGTTGCCATTGAGGTGTGCATGGTGGGGGCAGGGCATGCACGTGTCAGCTGCGCAGACGTGATGATGGGACCAAGCAGAGAATCTCAGTGCCAGTGAGCAAAGCTCCTTGTTGCCCGTCTGCTGGCTTTCTGTTTGTTGATTTTTAAAGATTTGTTTTATGTTTTTCTATTGTAAACGTAATATTTGCTCAACATGAAACAAGAAAAGCCAATGAGAAATAGAAAAACTCTGAGGACCTACTCTGTGGCAGGCTCTGTAGGGGGTGCTGGAGATGAAGAATCAGATGAAATCTGCCCCCCGGCAAAGGGATTTCCACTGTACTGAGCATGGTCACAGTACCATCCCCTAAGGACACTAGTAGTGGTTTATTTTGCTGCACATATGTTAGAGTTGTTGTATGAATGCTGTACACCCACTTCTCACTTAACAACATGGTTAGCTGCCAAAGACTAGGTCATTATGTGAAAATTGGCATAGTGCAAAAATAGAGGGTGATTACGTCATTACACAACTGCCAAACCGCTGAGAACCATGGCCCAGCCAAGCTGACATCTCCTTAACCATCACAGCCAGCATTACTCTTGCCTCGCACCTCTGTGTTCATTACCACCAGACATACAATGTTAATACGCAAAATAGTTGGATAGTAGATTTTTTACTATGGTTGTAAATGAGAAGTGTTGGTTAATGAGATAGTCAATAAGTGAAAGTAGGTATATTTTAAAACCTTGCTTTGTTTACATAGTATTACAGTGTAAGCATTTCCCGTATCATTAAAAATCACTGCTTTTAACTGCTGTATTAATTACACTCTTCTAAGGTACCACAATGAATACAGTTTGGTCCCCTACTGGAAAAACAGGTTGTTTTTAACCGTTCATTATAAATAACACAGTCACAAACCTTTATGCATAACATTTTTCTACTTCTCAAGTTATTTTTTTATGGTGGGTTTTGGGTTTTGAGTCAGAGTATAGGGGAGTTTTATGGCTCTTGGAATAGTTTGCCTGGTTTTAAGTCCAGAAAGTTATATCAATTTATCCTTAAACCAGCAATATTAAAGAATGTGTCATTCACTGCAGCTTTACTAGCATTGAGTGCTACTGATTTTTTTTGTTTTTGTTTTGCTTTTTTTTGGTCCTTCATAAAAACAACACTTATTTCAGGCACATGCTATGTATCTTATAAGTGCACATCTACGTTTAGTTGTCAAGTTGGACATCAGAGTTACTGTACATTCACTGTATTTGTGGCCTGGGACCCCCTTTCCATTCATAGTTTCAATCAGCCTTTAAGGAGACCTTCTCTCATCAGGTGTTGAGAGATTCCCGGATCCACCACCTCCGGCTGCTAAACATCCTGGGCTGCCATGCCATCTTCTTCATGATCCCCACATGGGTTCTGGTGGACCTGTCAGCGTTCCTGGTCAGCAGCGACTTGGTGAGTTGACTGGCCCCAAGCACTCACTCTTTTCCCGTCCCGACTGGCTCCAGAGTCGATGCTTTCTTGGGATGTTACAGTTCTGTGTTAACTTTGGGAATTTTTGACATCTGACGCCAGTCTGCTAACTCTGGGCTCTTTGTTAGTACCGATGTTCCGTGCAGTTGAGGAAGTTTGCCTCCTTGGTGTTTCCTTCTCCAGCACTCTTGAGTCCAGCTGCTGACAGCTGTTGTGTTTGTGCCGATAACATCAAAGAGGCAAAATGTGACCCTGCAGGTGGCCCTCCCCTGTCCTGGTAAATCTTGTTTAGACGTCACTCTGACTTTTAGAAACTGCTTGTGCTCTTGCTTTATTGGTACTGTCTCTGTTCACATGTCCAGTTACTCAGGGGTCTGTGTCTCCCTTGAGCACTAGAATGGGAGTCTTCCTACCCTTACAGGGTTAGGCATCAGAGAATACACAAGAAACAGCACAGGTGAAGGTTGTAAGAGAGGGTACAAGTTGTTCTTTTATGCGTTTCATGGCCCAAGAGAAGGGTTTAATGTTTATTGAGGGCTTAATGTAGGTCCCTGAGTGACGCAAATGGTTTGTGCCCAACTATTAATCTAGAGATTGGCAGTTCAAATATACTCAGCAGTGCTGAGGAGGAAAGATTTGGCAAGCTACTTCGTAAGATTAAAACCCAGAGGTGTCTTGAAAGACAAGCCTGGCAATCTGCTTCCAAAAAGTCACAGCCTTGAAAACTCTGTAGATCAGTCCTGCTGTGCAAACACAGGGTTGCCGTGAGTCAGAGCTGAATTGGCAGCAGCTAACAACAACAGTAATCTCTGTGGAAGCAGATTACCAGGCCTTACTCTGCAGTGCCGCTGGGTGAGTTCATGTGAGCCACCCAAGGACCTTTCCATAAAATTACAGCCATTGGAAACCTCGCGGAGCGCAGTTCTTCCCTGACACGCATGGGGTTTCCATGAGTTGGAATTGACTGGGTGGTAAGGGGTTTGGTTTTGGTTTGGAATGTTCTAGATGGATCCTTGACATACATTGTCAGGTTTAACCCTTAGTCCTAATTTAACCTGTCAAGTCTCAGATATGCTATCTGTTTTGCAGATAAAGTAACTGGCTCGGTTTTCTATCTTTCCAGGGAATTAGCTGTGATTTTTCTGTGAAGAACTTTCTATCATCACACAGGACTAGTTTGTTACCCTGAAATAGTACAAGGAAGGCAGGTTAAGGTTTAACTATTTCCTCTTACTTAGCATTTTCAGAGTTAGGAATTGGACCTTACTTCAGACATAACAGTGAGTTAAGCGTTGTTTTCTTTTACTGTTACTTTTTTCTGTGTCATCATGTTAACTGGTATGTTGGTCAGCTGCGTGCATTACTCTTTCTCGTCTTCATATTGTTCTGCCTCAGCCGACGCAGCCCTTCGCAGTGGCGCCTGGCCCTTTGGACGCACCAAGTCCGTCTTTGGCAGCTTTGGGCTCTGCAGGAGGGTCTCGCCTCCTCCTGTGCAGTACCTGTCTTAGCCCTGCAGGCAGCCACCTTGGCAAGAGCCCTGCTTGTCTCAGTGGGGAGTGGTGTTGAGACTAAGAGTCCCCTCCATGCCAACTTTTGGGGTGATTTTTGTGTGTGCTTGTTTTTGGTATTTAGACTCCATCTGGGTACTGTGTGTGCCAGTTGCTTTCAGGTTGTCATTGCTTTTAGGCCTTTGCAATGAGAAACTAGTTGGGCCATGGGCTCAGAGTTCATGCAGGTTAGTTGTAATTCCAAGTCAGCATAGCAGGATTTATACTGCTTGACTTTTTACTTCTGTCTCTTTTCTCTTATAATTGGACCCTCTCTACATTTCGTAGTTATTCCTGGACATTATTCTGCTGCACACACTTGTGCACTCGAATGTACACACTCACAGACACACATGCTCAGTCACACACAGACACACACTCATTCACACAGACACACTCGGCTGCACATGCACTCATAGACACACCCTCAGACACACACACACATTCTTACTGTCAAACACACAGACACGCTAGCTTCAGAGTGAGGCCACAATAGGGCAGCTGCGCCTGGAGGACAGCAGGCCCTTTACAATGTCCTTGCCACACACAGTTTCCTGGGAGTGTGCTCCAAGGGAAGCGGATGCTGAAACATCATGTTCTCGGGTCACTGGGAGTGGCCAACTTGTCATGCAAGGAGGTGCCTTTCCTTGCATATATATATTCTAGGTTTTTAGGAATTGCTTTTTCTCCATACCAACCCTCCCCCCAATATGCCAAACATTTATCCAAAGCTAAACTACATAATGTGTTTATTCAAAGAAGTCTCTATCACCTCCACTTCTGTCCTCCCATCCTGCCACAGGTATCAATTTTTATGTGCGTGCTTCATCCTCTTGATATATCTTTTTACAAATGTGAGCATATTTGTATATACATTCATCTTTTCTTTACGCAGAAAGTAACGTTTATATGTATGTGTGTGTGTATACGCACATACACACATCCTTTTCTGTACCTCGTTCTCTTCACTTCATAATACATTCTGGGTGGCCAGGTGCTGTTGTGTCAGCTACAACTCATGGTGACCCTGTGTACAACAGACCAAAACACTGCCTGGTGTGCACCATCTTCACAATCCTTGCTATGCTTGGGCCCATTGTTGCAGCCACTGTGTCAATCCATCTCCTTGAGGGTCTTCCCCTTTAACACTGACCCTCTATTTAACCAAGCATGATATTCTTCTCCAGGGTCCCTTCTGACAACATGACCAAAGCACAAATAACAAGTTCCTTTTGTTAGTCTTTCCTATTGTTACAGTGTTGCCAACAGATTTGGTGTCAGTTCTGTTACATTGTTTTATGTTAGGCTCCTTGGTGTATTATGCATGTGCACAGCAGATGTGTATAGATAGGCTTTCACTGTGGTCTGTTTTCTTTGCTTTTTCTTGTATTCATGTGTTAGGGATTAAATTACGTGTTGGAATCCTAACCCCTCTACCTGTGGCAGAGTCCCTGGGTGTGTAAAAAGTTATGCAGTGGACTGCTATCTGAAAGGTTGGTGGTTTGAACCCAACCAGGGATGCCTTGCAAGATGGGCCTGGTGGTTTGCTTTTGAAAGGTCACAGCCTTGACAACCCTGTGGAGCAGCTGTTCTCCATATGGCAAGGTTGTCATGAATCTGCCATGAATCAGATCACCTGAGAGCAAACAACAACATACATATGGATAGAATCCCATTTGGGAGTAGGGTGTTCTTTGTTATTTTAATAAAGAGTGTGTGGTGTGAAATGTATCTTAAACCTACTCACTTTTGAGACAGAAAAAGAGCAGATGAGGCACAGAGATAGGCAAGCACAAATGAGGGAAAGTCAGATGCCACATGGCGATCACCAAGTAACCAAGGTAGAGAAGCTGCGATGAGGACCTGGAGAAGGGCCAACAGAGAGAAAGCCTTCCCCTGAATACAGACTTGTAGCCTCCTAAACTGTGAAAAAATTAGTTTTCTGTTTATGAAAGTTCCCCATTAGCTGGCAACTAAGATGGTACTTTAAGGTGGTGGCAGCAGCGGGGAGCTTTCCTCTGCAGCCATAGAAACTGTGGTATACAAAACGCTTTCTGTCCAGTTGAGCCTGACTCATAGTGACTCTATAGTCACTATGAGGGTAGAACTGCTCCATAGGGTTTCTGAGGATGTAGTCTTTACGGAAGCAGACTGTCACATAAAACACAATGAGCACCTTGGGTAATACCAGATGGTCCAACCTTTCTATAATTGTTCCCTAAAGGAGGAGAGAAAGTGCTGCACTTAGAAGTATTCATGAGGAAATAATGTTTAAAAACTTCTTAAATTTGGCAAAAGACACATATCTACAGATTCAAGCAGCTCAGTGGGTTCCAAACAAGTAAGCAGCCAGAAGAAAATGGCAAATTTACTTACAAGAGAACAGCAATTTCTATGGCCAATGATTCCTCATCAGAAACTATGAAAACCACAAGGAAGTGGAACAACATCTTCAAAGTGCTGAAACTAAAGACCTGTTAACCCAGAATTCTACACACACCAAATGCAGAATTGGTAGGTTCTTTTGAATCAGCATGGATTCATGCTGTTGATTCTGGAAGCAATAGAACTACTGAAAATCAGCAAGGATATAAAAGAACTGACCACCAACATCAGCCACAGGGATTTGTGACTTTGCTGCCTGGACACAGCCACTTGGTCTCCAAACTGCTTGGCCCTCAGCCCGTGAGGCTGGCCCTACATGCCTATCTGGACTCCAGGCAGTGGCAAGATGGGCAGCCTAGAGCCATCGGCAAATATCCTGGACAGCCTGGCACCCTGCCTGTAGCAGCGTCCTGGCTTTTCCGCCCACAGGTCCAGAACAATGTGCTGGAAGGAGGGAGAAGGGGCGAGGGAGCAGGACGCAGCTGCCTGGAGCCAGCCATGCACAGAGGAGATAGCCACATATACTCAGGGTTTTGCCAGCCGCCTTACCAAGGGCCTGCGTGCCTGGTCTGGCCTGTCTCCCTGTTGAGGAACCAGCTGGGCCCTGCAGAGGATTGTGGTCCACGTGTCCCAAGTCGTCGTTTCCTGACTTCTGAGACCCCCTTAATCAGAGCTGCCTCACACCGGCAGGAACCAGAGGATGACTAAGTTCTGCTGATAATTCAAATAAGAAAACCACTGCCATCAAGTTGATTCCAACTCATGGCTATCCTGTAGGACAGTGTAGAACTGCCCCATAGGATTTCCAAGGCTATAAGTCTTTACAGAAGCAGACTGCTTCCTCTTTCTTCCATGGAGCAGCTGGTAGGTTTGAACCGTGGACCTTTTGGTTAGTAGCCTCGTGTTTCTTTGGCCTGAGATGTAGTAGAGCCATTTCACAGGCTGGGCGGCTGAGCAGGGAGCAGTCTGCACCAGTCGCATAGGTAACACCTCAGTACCCTGAGCTGCTATAACAGAAGGACACAAGCGGGCCACTGTAACAAGCAGAAATGTATTTTCTCACAGTACAGGAGGCTGGAAGTCCAGATTCAGGGTGCTGGTTCTTGGGGCAGGCCTCTCTTTGTGGGCTTGGGAAAGGTCTTTTCATCTTCTGTAGCATTCTTGGTGTTCCTTGGCCATCTCCACCTGGCCTCTATCTTTCCTCCTTTATACTTGCTTCCGTGCCTAATCTGCTCTTATCTCAAAAGTGACTAGGTTTCAGTCTCACCCTGTATTAAAGGGGCTTCATTAACCAAACAAAGGCCTATTCCCAAATGGGATCCCATCACAGGTATTTTAAAAATTAAAAAAAACACTACCATATAGTGGGTTCCAACTCATAGGGACCCCCGTTTGGTTTCCAAGGTGGTAAATCTTCACGGAAGTAGATCACCCCATCTTCCTTCTGCTGAGCGGCTAGTGGATTTGAACTGCCAGCTTTCTGGTTAGCAGTCAAACGCCTTAGGCACTGCGCCACCAGGGCTCCTTAATCACAGGTATCAGGGTTAGGATTTTAACATGTATTTTGGGGGACACAATTCAATCCATAGCGGTTGAGGACGCAGAACCAGAGTGGTCTGGCAGCTTGCCCAGGGACATTCATGTCCCCGAGTTCTTCGCATACTCAGGAGCACTTGGGCCCCTCCCCTTCCTGTGGAGCGCAGACTGTCCACTCAGCTGAAGGAGCTGCCATTCACTTCCCAGAGTGAGAGGAGGCACCGGTCGTCTCTTGCTCTGAGCCCCTTGGGGCCCTTCATCTCTCTGAGCCTCTGCCTCTTGGCGGAAGATGGGGGTGATTATGCCTCCTGTGATGTGTCATGAAGGTCAAAGGTGGTGCAGTTTAGTGCTCAGCTGCTAACGAAAAGGTTGGTTATTGGAGTCCACCCAGAGGCCCCTGGAAAGAAAGGCCTGGCGCAAGCTGCTTCTGAAAGCTCAGCTGTTCACGACCCTGTGGAGCACAGTTCTGCTCTGAGACACATGGCATTGCTGTGAGTTGGAGTTGACTCGATGGCAGCTGGTCTATCATGACACACCTGGGCTGCTGCCTTCCAACTGTGGGACCCTGGATGAGCTACTTTGTTCCCACTCCCTGTCCTCCAGCCCCTTCTTATGCTGTGGGGTGGCTGTGGTGCTGCCGCTATCCCCAACACACTGTCTTTTCCCGCCTGCAGACCTATGTCTCCCAGTGGCCCTGGACACTCCTGCTCCTGGCCGTCAGCGGCTTCTGCAACTTTGCTCAGAACGTTATTGCCTTTAGCATCCTCAACCTCATTAGCCCCCTGAGCTACTCAGTCGCCAATGCGACCAAGAGGATCATGGTCATCACTGTGTCCCTCATCATGCTACGTAATCCAGTCACCAGCACCAACGTCCTGGGGATGATGACGGCCATCCTAGGTGTCTTCCTGTACAACAAGGTGAGTTGAGGGAAGAGGCCACCCTGGCAGGCTGAGGTGTGCTGATGACCTGGTAGAGAGGAAGGAAGGGGCCCGGGCACTAGGCCCCAGCTTTGCCACTGGCAGGTCTGTTATCATTGGCATGGCCAGTCCCTCCTGGCCTTCCCTCCCCTCACACAGATAATCTCATGCCCCAGGCATGCTGGTGCTGGGACTCTCGGGTGTACAGGGGGCCTTGGCAGATAAATAGGCAATGATTTTTCCCCTTTGAACAAATGCCTTGTTTAGTCTAGTGTCAGGTGCATGGAGGATCCTGCATGGTGCACATGGTTTGGGATCAGCTGCTAATCCAAAGCTTGGCAGTTCAAACCCACCCAGCCACTCCATGGAAGATAGGTCTGGTGAACTGCTTCTGTAAAGATTACAGTGAAGAAAACCCTACAGAGCAATTCTGCTCTGTAATACGAGGGGTCACCATGAGTTGGGGGCCAACTGGACAGCAATGGATTTGGTGGTTTAGTTTTATTTTTAAGGTGCATGGTGGTAGCTAGTAGGACTTGCTTCCAAGGCCTGTTCTTTGAGAGTCCGTTTGCCAGACATGCCTGAGCCCGGCTCTGGGTGAGACGTGCATCTCCTTGAAGGGCTGAGTGTTTAGAATCAGGTGGTCCCTCTGTCCTCTGGCCCTTTCCTGCAGAATGATCCAGTGTAGCATCCTCCACATGGACAGCTCCGTGACAATGACTACATTGTTCATGTTAGGCCACCACTGTCACTACCTTTTTCCACAATATTTTACCACCTTTAACAGAAACTCATTGTCCCCTAAACAAAAATTCCTTCCCAGCCCTGGTAACCACTAATCATTTTCAGTTTCTGTATATTTGCTTATTTCATATAAGCGAGTCGTACAGTGTTTGTCCTTTTGAGACTGACTGACTTTGCTCGACATCATGTTTTCATGGTTCGTCTGTATTGTAGTGTGTATCAGAGCTTCATTTCTCTTTGTGGCTGGGTAGTAGTCCAGCGTGGACTGACCACACTGTGTTTGCCTGTGCCCTGTTGATGAACATTTCCATCATGTCCACTTTTGGCTCTGTGACAAGTGCTGCGGTGAACGTTGGTGTAGAGCTTTTTGTTTGCGTTCTGCCTTCACTTCTGGGCAGATCCAAAGGAGTAGAATTGCTGGGTTACATGGTTCTCTGTTCCACTTTTTGATGAACCACCAAACTCTTTGCAACAGCTCCTGCACCATTTTACTTTTGCACCAGTCACGGACGAGGTTCCAGTTTTTCCACCACTTCACCAACACCTACTTCTTTTTTCTTTTTAACATTTCTGTTTTAATAGGGGTGAGGTGGTATCTCATTGAGTTTTTGATTTGCATCTCCCTGATTGCTAATGACATGAGCATCTTTACATGTGCTTGTTGGCCATTGGATAGCCTCTTGGTGAACTGGCTGTTCAGGTCCTTTGCCCATGTTTTGATTGAGTGGTTTGTCTTTTTGTTGTTCACTTGTAGAAGTTTGGGCTGAATGGTTTTCAATTTGTCTTTCCCATGCAGACCAAGTACGATGCCAACCAGCAAGCCAGGAAGCACCTCCTCCCTGTCACGACGGGGGACCTGAGCAGCAAGGAGCATCCCCGGGGCGTACTGGAGAAACCCCAGAACGGCCTCCTCTTCCCCCAGCATACAGACTATCAGTATGGCCGCAACAGCATCCTAACGGATCACTTCCAGTATAGCCGGCAGAGCTACCCAAACACGTACAGTTTGAACCGTTACGACGTGTAGAGTTGGGAGCACAGGTTTGCTTCCTCCAGCCCTGGGACTACCAGAAACGTCTGACAACCAGTGAATGTAAAGCCAAAGGGACAGAGCAAAACAATGAGATGGCCCTGCCCCTGGCCTCTAGTGCTTCCATGGGGAGTGGGAGGACCAGCTGAACTGAGAAGACTTAGAGGACTAACCCAGGCAAGGAGTGGGGAGGCACCTGTGAGCATCATTCAGATAACTCCAACAGCAGAAAGGGACCCAGTTTCCCCAGCACCCTGGTGGCTGTTTGCAATTAGTTGCAAACGGTCTGCAGTGAAAAGCAGTTAGCGTTAAGTTCATGTCCCTAATTCTTTGCTGAGCGCATCAGAGTTGGCATTAGCCTAGCGTCCCAGGGTAAGGACATTGCTTTCATCTCCCTGCGCCTTTCTGCCCTTGCCGGAGGCAGGACGGGTCCTCCCCGCCAGGGTGGCCAGGAGGAAGGGAAAGCAGGAGAGCGCTCAGGTGGAGAAACATCCTGGGGGATCCTGCTCAGTGTCCCTGGGTGTTTCTGTCATCCTGGTTCTGTCTTCTGAGGTGTCTTCGTCACCCCTGGGATGACCCAGTAGAACGGTTGGTGGGGAGGAGCTTGCATTTTTCTAGGAGATATTTTGTAGTCGTGTGTTTTTATGCCTTGGTCCCCATTAGGGGACCTGTGAGGACTGACTTGCGGATGGAAAAACCCTTTTGTTTTTATATGGTTTGAAACAGAGAAGTTCCTCTGGGGAGGCCTATTGGCCACATTCTTGTGTTTAGCAGGAAGCAATGAAAAGTTGCGAAGTTCCTCTCAAAGGACCCTAGTCGTTGAAAACAGAAACGAATCAAGAATATGACCACAATATTTTGTGTACTGGACAAGATCATGGTGTTTTGAGTACGTAGTCTTGTTTTGTGTGTTTGAACCAGAATCATGTCCTGGGTTAGGGGAAAAGGACACAGCACCAAGCTAGGATTTGCTTGGCCAAATCACATTGTTTGGCTGAACATGAGTCAGAGTTTTGGCCAGAATCATGTCATTGGGAAGATGGGAGTAACACCTGTGTGCTAAGGGGCATGGGTGGCCTTCACTGAGGGGACTGCTGGCCCATGGTGTCCTCCGTGATAGTGGCATTCTTTGCTCGGTGCTGTCCCTAGCCTCACAGGCAGGTGCTGGTGCTTGGGGAGAGCAAGTGGCAGATGTGACAGTGACTTGCCCCTTCTCTCCTGGTGAGTTTCCCTAGTCAGAGAGGAAGTCGTGTAGCTCCTGCTCAACTCTGGTTTTTTATAATTGACATTTTACATTTGTGTGTCTGTCTCCCTGTTGTCAGTTGCTGTCCAGCCCACTCATGGTGACCCCACATGTCAGAGTCGAGCCGTGCTCCGTAGGTTTTCAAGGCTGGGGCCTTTCTAAGCAGACCACCAGGCCTGTCTTCCAGGGTGCCTCTGGGTGGGTTCCAGCTGTCATCCTTTTGTCCATTTACACCACCCAGGAACTCCTGGCATTTTAAATTTAAAAGGTTAAATTTTGTCAGCCAGTGAATGAACTCTGGGTGGTCCTTGGGTGGTGCAGTTTGTACTCAAGCAGATCAAAAGGTTGGCAGTTTGAACCCACCCACATGTGCTTGAAAGACAGGCCTGGTGGTCTGCTTCTATAAAGATTACAGCCAAGAAAACTGTGTGGAGTTCACTTGTGTTCTGTAATGCATGGGGTGCCGTGTTTGGGTTTTGGTTTGGTATGAGCAGACTGCCCTAGCAGGGCTGCCACAGCTCGCCCGTCAGTTCACACACCACTTGCTCCAGAGTCCCTCCATTTGTTTGTCTTTCACTTGCTTCTAACACTTTGGTCCCATGTTTTAAGATGATTATTATGTGCCGATTCTGAAGGGCGTGACTTATGACAAGGTTCTGCTGAGTCCCTTCACCAGAGGCAACAATCTGTGGTTGAGTTTGTCTCATGGCGAACAACAAACAGGGACGATAATTCTGCATCACAAAGATACTACCATCATTAAGTTGTCTTATATGATGATAGTAACAGATTCCTTGAACATATCATTGAACTCCAAAATGAATTATGCCTCCATTCAGGTTGAATGAAATTTCTGACATTGTTAAAATTTGTACTGTAACATGTTTTCTTTTTCCAATGCAAGATCACTGTCTGGTTTTATGATTTGTAAATTAATAAACGGGATATTTAATTCTGTACATAAATTTACAGTGAGTACATAGACTGAAAAATAGAGACAATCATATTTGACTAAATCATCTGATCAAAAGACAAAGATGTATTTATGAGACTTGCAGGTTCTGTGAGGACATGGACCTCCTAAAGGCCAGTGTTTGCAGCCGCTCACTGCCACTGCCCCTTGCCCCCAGGCCACACCCCACACCCACAGTCATGTCTGCAGCTCTGGCCCCTCAAACCCTACTCACTGCTGGGGTTTGTGGTAGGGAATGTTGGTTACCCGTCTGTGGTCTGGTCTGGCCTGGGGCACAATGAGTCTAACCCAAGCCCCTTCATTTTACAGAAGGGGAAACTGAGGCTGGAGGGATTTGATAGTGTTGGTTCCTTGCTGTGAGACTCAATGTGGTCTTTTAAGCACCTAATGTTGAGTCAACGCCCATCAGGAAAAAGTCCCTGCATTGCACAAAATGACTAAGCACTCTGCCAGCCAGGGGCAGTTGGCAGTTTAGACACACCCAGCAGCCCCTCGGAAGACAGGCTTGGCATTGGCACTCTGTCTCCAAAAGGTCACAGCCTTGAAAACCCTACGGAGCAGTTCTCTGCACACTTGGGGGTCGCCCTGTGGCAGAATCGACTGGACAGCAGTGGGCTTTCTGGTTTATCATAAGGAAAACAAATCCCTATGACAAAGACGACAGGCCATGTGTGTTCAAGGAAGGAAGCAATTGAATTTTCCAAGTCTTCCTGTGCAAGGCTCTTGTTATTCCTGGGATGGAACCAGCCAGATACTTTAAGGTCTAACGACTTTAAAGGCATAGAACATTCATTATGAAAAGACTGAAAACTGTTCATTTTTTCCCCCCAACTATCACCTGTTTCAAAGACTCAAATACTAGGGACTATTCTTTGGGAATGATACTGTGTATGTTACTGAAGGTATTTACCAAAAATAAACGATGGTCTCCAGGGAGTCAGAGCTGCTTCCAATCTGTCATCTAAGGCCTCTTGAGATTTCCGAGTGGCCCTGTCTTCAGCAAGTTGCACCAGCAACACAAGCACGAAGTGAGGTAGAAAGAGCAGAGCAACGGGTTCTCACTTTGCAATGTCCTGTTGTGGGGATGGCATCTTTTTTTTTCTTTTTTTTTAAGTAAAAATTGCAACGCAAACTGCTTGGTGCACAATGCAGTGCAACACACTGCCGTCGAGTTGGATTTCACTCATAGCAACCCCTCCTTGGGTTTCCGAGGTGGTTTCACTACAGAAGTAGATTGCCCAAAACTTCCTTCCAGGGAGTGGCTTGTGGGTTTGAACCACCAGCCTTATGGTTAGCAGTGAAATGCCTTAGGCACTATGCCACCAGAGCTCCCCTGAGTAAAAATTAGGACATATTATTTGAGTATTTATGAGACAGAAAAATAGAATCACAGCTCAACAATTAATGATACATGCCTTTATTTAATAGGATAACATGGAAAATCCTGGAATGTCCTGGTGGCCTTGACTCTGAAGCATATTTCTAAGTAATAAGAGCTAATGCTAAGGCACTAGTAGTTCAGTGGTACAATCCTCTTACTCCACGTGAGAGACCCAGGTTCGATTCCCAGCCAGTGCGCTTTATATGCAGCTACTTCCTGTCTGTCACTGGAGGCTTGAGCATTGCTGGACCAACCAAACTAAGATGGACTGGGAAGATAGCCCTGCCAGGTGACTTCCAAAAACAGCCAGAGAAAGTGATGACAGCAGATCTGGCAGCATTTCGTTCCATTTTGCCTGGAGTTGCCATGAATCAAGGACTGACTTGGGCTACTGGCAAGCACCAGACAAAGGGATAGACTTTTCATACCACTTATGAACCTTGTTTTACAGTAAAGAAAATGAGGCCCAAGAGGGTTAAGTCCTTTGGGAGCACAAACTACTGGGCCCCTTTCCAGAGCCCCTTTCTCCCACATCACACTTCTCAGAAAACACTGCCAGCAGAGTTTCTTTCTAGTTGGGACAGAGGAGTACGTGTCTCTGTTGAAAACCTTACCCACCACATCCTTTCCATTCATAACCCTTCTGCTGATTTACTGAGCACTTCATTTGTGCCAAGTAACAGGAAACAGATGTGGATGCCTCCCCCCCTGAAAGCCCTCAGCTTTATTTATCAGTGTGCTACTTTTAAGCTGTGTACATGGTGCTGTGTTGTTCAAAAGGCTAAGGGACACACAGGGCAGTTATTTTAGCACCCCTGGTGAAGGGAACCATCACCATGAAAGAAAGGCGGTGATATGTTCCATAAAAGGTGATAACCAAGACAACCCTATGGAGCAGTTCTCTAACACACGGGGTCACCATGAGTCAAAATTGGCTCCGTGGCAACAGGTTTGCTTTCTGGGTGTGGAAGCTTTTGTGGCTTCAGCTAGCTGACCACGGCAGGATTCAGTTACTGAGACGAGATGACAGTCACACACAACCTTGGCTTTACTGAGGCTCTGGGTTTGGACGTGCCTAGGTTTCCTCCGTCACCCACCACTTTTCTTAATAACTTCTGCTTTTTAGTTAAACTTTGGACAGATCATTAAAGCAAAATAAAAAACCAATTATACTATAACCTCAAACGTACTACCCATCAAGTTAATTCTAACTTATAGCAACCGTACAGGACAGGGTAGGACTGCCCCATGGGGTTTCCAAAGCTGTCATCTTTATGGAAGCAGACTGCAATATCCTTCTCATGCAGAGTGGCTGGTGGATTTGAATTAATGATCTTTTGGTTTGAGCACTTTAGCCACTGCACTACCAGGGCATCTCACAATTTTATGGTACAGATGTC